AAGAACTTTTTTGAGAATGAAGCAGTAACTAACAGAAAAGAAGGAGAAAAATCAAAAGACTTCTGCTCAGTTACTGATTATGTTGTAATTCAATGTAGAAAGAGTTTACCAAACAATTGTGTTGTTGGTATTCACAGAATCTAAGAAACACCACATTCAGGCAATGTATACCTGTATTTACCACATATTCTCTGAATGAAACTGATCATAAACAATACTAAGGGTCCGTGTGGTCTGGTAACAGGAGGAGGTCCGGGGGGAGGGGGACACTGAGTTACTGCACTGAGTGACCCCGACCCCAGTGAAGCCACTGCCTTCTCGGCCTGAGCACACCTCTTCTGTGCCCTGGCCGTGGCGGGAGGCAGAGGAGAGGTGGCCAGGGATCAAATCAGTCTGAGCTAGAGCCACAGGTTTGCCTTGCTGGCTTCTCCAACCCTCAGTTTCCTTACCTATAAAGTTAAAAGCCAAAAACAAAACAAAACCCACTGCCATCAAATTGATTCTGACAATAGTGACCCTACAGGACAGAGTAGAACTGCCCCAGTTCCAAGGCTGTCATCTTTACAGAAGCAGTCTGCCTCATCTTTTTCTCACAGAGGGGCTGGTGGGTTCAAATCACCAACCTTTTGGTTAGCAGCCCAACGCTCTAACCACTGCATCACCAGAGTTCCTATAAAATTAAAAGAAAGCTGATATTACCTACGGCACACGAATGAGAGAATTTAAAGGCTGAAACTTCTCCTGGTGTACTTCAGGCCCCCGAAAATGTCACCTGTCTGGGCTCCAGGAGAGCAAGGGCTACAATAGAAACGTTAAGGTGGCCAACGGGATGGGCAGGGGAGGGAGGAGAGACAACAGGAGGGCACTGCCAGGCGATATTCGGAAGCACTGATCTGCCAGGAGACACAGGACCCCGGGCACCAGGAGAAGAGCCAGCCCCACTATCCCCAACCTCCCCTCCCTCTAGCACACTGCTCCTCTGGGTGGGTGGGCAAGCAGTGTCTCCTAAGCCCAGAGCAGGAGGTGGGGTCTAAGAGGCGATGGAGCTGGGAGCGAGCCGGGCACTGGACCCTTCCTGTCCCTTCAGGGTTGGTGACGTGGGGTCGGGGCTGCTGTTGCTGCTAGTGCCACAGTGGCGCAACACGACGTGCCGAGCTCCCCACTTCAGACGTTTCCACTGTAGCACACTTCCTGGGTTGCCATTGTGCTGTTTGTGTGTGTGACTTGTTTTTTTCTGAATAATTCATTCACAACTGGGCCAATAAGCAGCATCATGATAAATGGAGAAAAGATTGAGATTGTCAAAGATTTCATATTACTTGGATCTACAATCAACACCAATGGAAGCAGCAGTCAGGACATCAGACATCATATCGCACTGGGCGAATGTGCTGCAAAAGACCTCTTTAAAGTGCTGAAGAGCAAAGATGTCTCCTTGAAGACTGAGGTGCACCTAATCCAAGCCATGGTGCTTTCAGTTGCCAAATATGCGTGTGAAAGCTGGACAATGAATACGCAAGACAGGAGAAGAGTTGATGCTTTTGAGTTACGGTGTTAGTGAAGAATACTGCAAGCTCCGTGGACTGCCATAGACCAAAACCAAACCAAACTCACTGCTGTCAAGTCGGATCCGACTCATAGCGATCCCTCCTTGGGTTTCCGAGGTGGTATCACTACGGAAGTAGATTGCCCAACCTTCCTTCTGAGGAGTGGCTGGTGGGTTTGAACTTCCAGGCTTCTGGTTAACAGTCAAATGCCTTAGGCACTACACCACTAGAGCTCCCTATGGGCTGCCGTAAGAATGAACAAATCTGTCCTGGAGGAAGTGCAGCCGGAATGCTCCTTGGAAGCAAGAATGGCCAGACTTCCTCTCACCTACTTTGGTCATGTCAGAAGGGACCATTCCCTGGAGAAGGATATCATGCCTGGTAAAGAGGAGGGTCAATGAAGAAAAGAAAAGGCCCTCAATGAGATGGACTGACCCAGTGGGTGCAGCAGTGGGTTCAGGTGCAGCGGGGATTGTGAGGCTGGCACAGGACGGGCAGCGTTTCGTGCTGTTGGACACCTGGTCACTAGGAGTTGACGCCGACGCCACAGCACCTGTGCTGGTTCCCTAGTGCCGCCTTGACAAATATACCACAAATGGGATGGCCTTAACAAACAGGAGTGTATTCTTACAATTTGGAGGCTTTAAGTCCAAGTTCAAAGTGCCAGGCTCTAGGGGCTGGGTGAAAGCCCCTCAACCTT